TTCATTACTTCATTGTATATGATATGACACTTTTAATTTAATCAATTTATTTCTTAATTGAAAATGAAAATATAATTTACCAAACAAAATATTTTCAATCTTTTTAAATTATTGTTTTAAGATTATTTGAATCTAAATGAGATTGTGCACCATATGTTTGTAATGGCTCATGAATTATAATATAATATTTGTACATAAAGAAAATACTAACCAAGATTAAATTTTAAAATATATTTATAACTCATGAAAATGACTATAAATTATTATATTAAGTGAAAAAATGCATATGAAAATTATGTCACTGGAAAAAGGAAGGTAATATGAATAACATTTAAAAACTTTGCGAACAACAAAAAAACAACAACAACATAGTCTTTTAGTCCCAAGTAAGTTGGGGTAGGCTAGAGATGAAGCCAAGAGAACCAATGGTAAGAGAAACACAAAAAAGGCTCAAAACAAAAGGAAGAGATTGGAGCAAAAGAGAAAGGAGCAAAAGTCACGGTTCTGGCACGTTGATTGCTAGCCTCCAAGCGCTCCTATCCACCGCGAAATCCTTGGAGATATTCCAATATTTAAGGTCTTTCTTAACCGACTCTTCCCAAGTGAGTTTAGGCCGACCTCTACCTCTATTTACATTCAACCCGCTGTAGAATTCCCCTACGCACCGGTGCATCAGGAGGCCTTCGTTGGACATGTCCGAACGACCTCAATCGATGTTGAACCAATTTCTCCTCAATTGGAGCCACCCCGACCATATCTTGAATCTCCTCATTCTGGGTGCTATCCCTTCTTGTGTGCCCGCAAAACCAACGCAACATACGACATACGCATCTCTGCTACACTTAGTTGTTTGACATGTTGCCTTTTTGTAGGCCAACATTCAGCACTGTATAGCTTCACCGGGCGAATCGCCGTCCTACAGAACTTACTTTTTAGCCTTTGTGGCACCCCTTATCACAGAGAACGCCCGAAGCTTGACGCCGTTTCAACCAACCAGCTACAATTTTATGCCTAACGTCTTCATCAATGCCACCATCCTTTCATAACATTGATCCTAAATACCGAAAAGTCTCCTTCTTGGCCACCACTTGCCCGTCAAGACTAACGTCACCATCATCATGTGTAGCCATGCTGAAAGCGCACGTCATTTACTCGGTCTTCGTCCTACTAAGTCTGAAGTCTATCGACTCTAACGTGTCCTTCCACAACTCTAACTTCCTATTTATCTCTGTCATACTCTCGTCAACTAGCACCACATCATCAGCAAAGAGCATACACAAAGGGATATCACCTTGTATGTCCCCTGTGGCCTCATCCATCACCAAGTCAAATAAATAAGGGCTCAATGTTGACCCCTGGTGTAGTTCTATTTTAATTGGGAAGTACCCCACATGTTCGGACACACGTCATCGCATCCTTGTACATATCCTTGATGAGGTAATGTACTTAGATGGGACTTTGTTCTTTCTAAGGCCCACCACATGACATTCATCGGTACTCTATCATAGGCCTTCTCAAAGTCGATAAAGACCATGTGCAAGACTAACTTAGATAATGAAAGGCCCACCACATGACATTCCTCGGTACTCTTTCTGGGGGTTCTATTACTGGGTAGTGAGTTTCAGAAGAAACTTCTTCTCTTTGCGGGGACGAAATTCGTTTCAGTTCTGCCCGGTCTTACCAAACAAGACTGACTTCTGACCAACTCTAAACAAGACTAACTTAGATAATGAAAGTTTGTCAATCAAATTTGTCATGCAACTTTAAATTTGTTTCTCAAATTTCAATAAACTTGATACAATTCATCATGTAACGTACTCTTTTGTTTGATTCATTGAAAACAATAATACAAAAACTTAAACCGACCATAAAACATATGACATAAAATATAATATTTTTAAATCACGTTACAATATAAATTAGGTATCACGTGCATCGCACGTGCACTTTACTAGTATGCCAAAAAGGGTTAATTGGACATTAAATGCAATTTTCCTTTTTTTTAGGTGATTTTTAAGAGGAGGAAATGTAGGCTTTGGGTGGGTAATTCAAAATGTTTTAAGGCTCTAATGTAAAGTTTCCACAAAGCTACAAAAATGAAATAGTCAGAACATCTTATCCCCTAACTTAATTTTTTCATCCTCTTTATTTTTTTAAGAGATGCTACGGGCCCATTACGGGACTATTCCATCAGAATTTGTAATCATTAGATCTACTATCTTTGACGGAATGATCTCATGGTTACAATCCTGACGGAATGGTTCCGTAAGAGAACCGTAGAGTTTTTCTTTTTTTTTTTTTTCTTTTTTTTTTTCCTTTAGCAAAAGATGATATTATTCATCTTTTTGTTTCGACACCGTCACTAAGCCCTTTGCAGCCCGTGCGTCATTATGACCAAAATTTCGTTTTCCATTCTCCAAGAATTAATTGTATTTTGACTTTTACACAATTACTCTTGGTTTAACGTTTGTAAAGAAGAACAACGTAGATTATGAAATTGGTAATAATATGCTTGAAATTTGTGTTGCATTTACAATTAATCAGTTGTTAATTTAAGTCATTACTCATTACCATTTTTCTGTTAGAAGGATATATACTTGATATATACTCTCTCTCTCTCTCTCAAAATACACGTCGTGTGGATGACACATCTTTCTGCACATTAAGGAGGATGTATTTAATTAGTATATATTTATATCTATATATATAAAATAAGAATAGATTTAAATCAAACATAGTACGCATTTCTCGGTATTTTGCAGTAATTACATTAGTAATATTACACTATTCCTTAAAACAAATCGAGCTTTAGTTGTAAATTAGTTTTAAATTGCCTTACCAACTGGATTTATTTATTGTTGAAACGGAATCGTAATTAAATACTATTTTCATAATTAAACACTAATTGAAAGATACTCCGTAATATTTGATTAAACACTATATTAGGATGTTTGGAGTCAATTTTATTTGATTAAAAACTATATTATTATGGAATCAAATATTATGGAGTATATTTCTAAAGGCAATATTATTATGGAATTAAAATTGACCGCGCGTCGCAACGCGACAAAATTATAATTTATATTTTCCTTAACTAACCTCTACTA